AAAAATAATAATAAACTCTGTGCAATATATATTTAATACAGGCTTGTTCACACAGACTAGATACACTTCCCACAAAAAAAGGGAATATTATTATTTCATTATTCTCTTAAATCATTTTATTTTTTGTTCTTTTTCTCTTATCATTCTCTTATTTGACGCTTATAACAGCAACGTTCAAGCTATACTTGGCGTATCAAGATTATTCAGGAACGATCTGATTAATAAATATTTGGCGTATTAAACGTCACCGCCATTATTTTACGTGGTTCGACGCCACGGGGGGATTGGAGAAGGGCGGAAAAATATAGATATACATGCTTGTATGTGTATATGTACGTATGTATATATATATATACCCCTAAACGTTCTTCGTCATTAGAGAAAATTTATTCTAGAACTTACGAAGAATGAAATTGTATGTTTTAAGAATGTTAGAGCAACGGGATTATTTATCAGCAACGACGCGAACGTTGGGGCGGGCGGGGTGGGGTGGGGAGGGGGGTTGTATCCTCCTCATAGAAAAAGTCCCAGTTCGTATGTAAATATGTATGCATATGCATGTACGTATCTCTATATATGTTGTATGTTGTATGTGTGTGTATTTGTTAGATGTGGAGGGTGTGGGGGCTGCGAGATAGTACGAACAAACAAAAGTTCCTCCCGAGATTGATAAATCCTAGGGTCAGGAAGAATAAAAAAAAATCACACTGGGAATTTCTATCTCTTTTCGATCGAGCGTTCATCAACAGAGGCTGCAACATTTGGAAGCGTCACCCAAATGAATATGACAAACTGCTGGCATACCGGTACACCCTTTACCAACACCAACGACTCTTTCCTGGACGAGATGAGCAAGCCCAAGATTTTGATTGATGTCACCGTCGCTGCCACGATGCTGATGTTTCGTGTCGCACCACTGATGACGTTCCCGCCATTTGTCGTCCGAGGCGGCACAAAGTAGCACCGATTTAGGGGATGGCGGACTGACGCGATCGCGTGCTATGTTACCGCAAGAACGTGCCTTGTACAATCGACCCTTCCCAAAAAGACCCGGCAATGGTACGCAAAGTTTCTTGTGAACCGCAAAATAACGACTTAACAAACGAATTTTCCTACTTTTGCATTCGTTTCTATTAACCGACGCTCCGCGATTTTCTTTTTCGTTCTGAACTACTGTTTGTTGACCGATCAAACAACCACCGTTGTTCAGATCCTTCCTTCTTTCATCGTTATTACAATTTCCGATCGTAGTAGTAGTAGTAGTAGTAGTAGTTGTTGTTTGCTGACACCTCGTCGTGTGTTGTTGATCGATTTTGTTGATTTCTCTAGAAGTCGTATTGTTATCCGTTTGTTGTCTACTAACAGCTTGCGACAAAGTAGATTTGCCAAGTGACCAGCCTTGCAAAAGTCTAGCACCGAAACCTTTAGCCTTTTGTACGGTCGTTGTGGTCGCGTGAGAAATTGATTGATGATGATGATGAATACAATGAGATCCGGTGCTAGTTTGGGATATCGAGGAGGTTGACGTTGAAACGTTTTGAACGTTTAAAATTGTCGAATTGCGAGATACGTGAGAATGATTGTGACAGGCTGATGGACCCTCGGCTTCTTGCACTTCAGTTATTCGATTCAATGATTGGCTTTCTCTCAAACGCGTCTCCCCGGCTCTTCTTCTACCTGCTCTATGTCTTCTACCAAAGGCCACTTGATTATCCGTTGATCTGTGCCTTCCACCGGCTGTTGTAGTATTGCTTGTCGTTGTGTTCGTAGTATTATTACCCCCATCGTTACGACTAGTATCTGGTGTATTCGATGGTGTTTCGCTCGTATGTTCCCCGTTTCCAAGACCACTACCTCCCCCACCACCACCACCACCTCCACTACCACCAGGATCTTGAGAATCGCTAGAATCGTCGTGACTATCTCGTCTAGGTGGTAATGGTTTTTCCGTCGTTGCACCAAGCTTATGAGCTCTCTTCTTCCTACTTTCACTGTCGTCGTCGCTAGCGTCCGAGCTCGAACACGAAGCAGTTCTTGTTTTATGAAACTTGCTTCTTCTCTGCTCGTATCCCGTACGTCTGACTACACGACACTTGGCGGCGGAAGCGTTGTTGTTGATACCTTCGTTCGAACCAACTGTACCTTGCATCGCGTCACCATCTTCTAATATCTCGTTCAACGTTAATTGCGGAGGTGATATGGAACCTGTACTACCTGGCGATGGCATAGTCTTATATTTTGGTATCGTGGATTGATGGTCTTCGTGCGTGCTCGAACGAAGAGGAATCGAAACTGTCGATGATTCCGTTAGAATAATTGTCGTTGTTGTAGAAATTAAATCAGACGGTCTAGAGACAGGTTGCGATATCGGAGACGTATCTAAAGTAAGTCCCGTTGATCTATGTTGAGCACCCATTCTCCATTTATTTGCTGGGACAGGACCTAACGATCTTTGACATTCCGTAACGGATTTCGGTCTACTCTCCACGCTGCCTGGTTTTTTCGACCAAGCCGACGACTGAACTAGCGTAGTACTAAATTTACTTTTTAAACTTTCATCGAAGATCGAGGATACTTTAGTCGTACCAGATATCTTATCGGATATCGCGTTGATATCCTTTTTAACGGCAGGACCTATTATATTAGAATGACGATTCGTCGTAGTTGCGTCGACAAGTTTGGGATCTTTCGTAAAGGACTTTAAACACTTTCCATCTCGATCGGCAGGTAAAACGGTTACGTTTGGACCGTCTTGTTGTTGAGCAGCGAGCCTTGACGCGACCGCCACTTTGTGTCCAGGATGCTTCTCTGGGAGTTGTCCCAGCCTTTCCTGCAAAATATGAGAGAGCTTCCCTTCCGAACGTGAGCCACGACGATTGAACGAGTTCAAGGCCGAGTTGCTACCGCGTTCTTCTCTTCCGGAACACGATGAAACGTCGTCCTCGTCTTCTTCCTCTTGCACGATGCTGCACTTTCTCGTACGTACGTTCTGTAACGAGAATAGGAATCTTTTTTTCCCCCACGGCAGGAAATCTAAGCTATCCGTAGATGTTCACTTGTAATGTACGTTCGAACATTATAATAATCAGGTTGATTCGATGTCGGATGTAGCATTTATTATGCGATACGTACCTGTGGTACGTCACCGGGCGTACGTGGAACACTCAGCAAGGATTGATTCACGGTATCAAGTAAATTTTGATTAACATGAAGGTTCACTGTTGCTTCCTCTTGCCTGCTGAAAATAATTCAAAAAGAAGGGAGAGAATGAATGAGATCGAACATTTTAATTATCGATCGGTAGACTCTTATCTCTTCGTAATACAATATTATATATAATAAAAAAATATACACTTACCTAGGAGAAACATCGAGTATCTCGGGACGTGCTTTTTGCACCTGTTCCTGTCTATGAGCTCGTAATTTTCTCTCGGCCAGCAGGAAATACGTCGCCGTTATGTGATTATACTCGTTCTTGTCTAACGCTCTTTATAAACGAGAGAAGATAAAAGAGAGAAAGAGGGAGTGGGAGGAGAGAGAAAAAGAAAGAGAGAGAGAGAGAGAGAGAGAGAGAGAGAGAGAGAGAGAGAGAGAGAGAGAAAGAGAAACAATTATTCGAGGAATTTTATCGTGGTTAAACGAGTAGGAAAAATATCCAATCCTTGCCATTTAATACTCACTCTAATATATCTTCCTTTGTGGCGATATTACCGTTAACCATTTTAGTAATAATAAGATTATGATGATCATCGGATACTTGTTGACGTGATACTAATGGTAACACTTCGACAGAATCCGTATCAGATCCGATAGCAAGCCAAGGATCAGCAGCTATTTCTTCGAGTGAAGCTCTTCCTTCGGGTTCTCTGACAAGCATCTTAGCGATCAAACGTTTACAATCACTGGAAACGTGAGCTGGAATGGAATACTTGCAATCCATGATCATTGTCAATGTCTCGCTGTCATTTGCTTCTTGAAAAGGTGCTTGCCCGCATACCAGCATGTACAAAATCACACCGAGCGACCAGACATCTAAAACAAAACAAAAATACGTTCAATTTGAAAATTTGATAAATCATTCTAAGAATAATAATAATATAATATAATAATGAAAAATTGATAACTTACCAACTGCGGGAGCATCGTAACTGTCGCCAAGAAGTATCTCGGGTGCCGAATAAGCCAAAGAACCGCATGAAGTTTCGAGCTTTTGTCCAGGACAAAATCTATTGCTAAAACCGAAATCGGTTAATTTGACGGTGCCGAGTTTCTCGAAGAAGACAACATTCTCCGGCTTGAGATCCCTGTGAACTACGTGTAATCGGTGACAGTAGGATATTGCACGAACTATCTGTCGAAAATACGTCCTTGCCACCTGTTGAACGGAATAAGAATGAAGAGGAGAGAGTGCTGCTTTTCGTCGATAGAACTTATTATGAACAAAAGTGTAAAACTTTGGTTATATAGTCTAATCATGTTTAACGGTAAGGTGAATCACGAAAAGAGAGAAAGAGAGAAAGAGAAAGAGATAACAGCTGTTGTCTCTCTGTCTTTCCTTTGAGTGTATAGACACGCAACAGCAAACAAGTTTGGCAAGTTTGCAACTAATAATTCGTCTAGGTACTAATTTAAGATGATAGCAAGAAAGTAAAGTTCTTATTGTATAACCACGGTACCTCTTCGCTTAATCCACTGTCGTGGCGCATGATGTAGTCGTAAAGGTCACCGCCATCGCCTAATTCCAAAATCAGGTACAGCTTTGTTTGGGTATCTATCACCTCGTATAATCTCACCACGTTCGGGTGTTGCACCAATTTCATACATCGTACCTATAAATTAAATGACAACGTTGTAATAACATAAACTACAAATAAATGAACAGAGAACAAGAGAGAGAGAGAGAGAAAGTGGGAGGAGGTCATTGACCTCTTATCTCTTAGCACACGATTATCTCGTTGATCTTAACAAGATCCATAACTTGACGTAGATCGTAGATCCTCGGCCAACAGGATATACTCGTTAATTCAATCCCGATTTATTTCTATCCTTGTTCATTCTAATGTAACAACACGAAATATTAAGCTGAACCTAAAAGTTCGCGTGCGTTGTTTTTTCTCTTTTTATTATTATTATTATTATTAATATTTCCAAAGTAAAGAGTTGCAACACGATAAACGCATGAACTATTGGTTCACCGTATAATAAATATAATCTTTCCATAGATCTTTTTCTAGTTTTCTCTCTCTCTAAGTATACATATATAAAATAGAAAATATAAGCTTAAACGCAGATTAAAGAAAATTGAAATTTAATTTATAACCAGCGTTTTCTTTTTTTTTTTTTTCTTTTTTTTTTCACCCTCACCTCTTGGAAAAGATGCGCCCTAGATACTTCGTCGAGTTTGCTCTTGTCTATGACCTTCACTGCAACCTTCTCACCAGTAAATACGTGTCGAGCAAGCTTTACCACAGCAAAGTGTCCACGACCAAGAGTCTCTTCCAGGTCGTAAAGGCCCGCGATCTTGCCATCGTAGTTGCTGTATCCCACCCTACGATGCATTTCGCAGCTGCAGCACACAAAGAGAAAGATAGATAGAGAGAAAGAGAGAAAGAGAGAGAGAGAGAGATCATTAAGGGGCACACCTAGTGTGACCGCCTAAAAGATAGGTGATTTTTGGGAATTTTTTTAAAGAAAACTACTGCATGAAATATTTTAAAATTTTAGAGAATATATTTATATATAATTAACGAATATTCATTAAAATTTTCAAATGAAAAAAAGTAATTTTCAGCGAGTTATTCGTTATCTCCCAAGTCACTAAAAAAAAAGAGCCTAAACGGCTGCAGTAGTGATTCCGGCCTACACCGTGGATGAAATAAAACAAAAAAAAATACTATTAATCTAGAAAGTATTACCTATACAATGACCTGAAATCGTGAAAAAAAATTGAAATTTAACAAAATGGCAGACTTTTAAAAAAAAATCGAATTTTGCTGAAAATTTTGATGATTTTTTGCCCGCCATAATTACATTTTTTATACAATCGAAAAACATTTAGGTCATTGTACAGAGAAACATATACGAAACAAGCAGAAAAAAAATCAAAGCGATCGAATGATTCTTCTTCGAGTTACATGTGCAGCCAATTTGAAAAATGCAGTTTTGAGAAAAACGCGTTCAAAGATAAAATGATTGCTTTCTAATCCCTGACCGGCTACTCATTAGAAGGCTGTAACTCTAAAACTATTTGAAATATTTATTTGAAATTTCAGTATGTTATTTTTAAAGATATACACTATCAAAATATGAAAAAAAAAAAAAAAATCAATTTTTTCAAAATTTCACACTAGGTGTGCCCCTTAAAAACCCTATATTATATTACTGTTATTATATTATATTATATTACTATTATGATATATATATATCATAAGTAAAATTATAATATTTAAAAGCTTTCAAACGAACGATTAATTTAATTCACATTTACAATGAGATAAAGTGTATACATTGTTTTAAAATTAAATGGAATAAAAATATCCCTAGAGTTATCCACATATTGATTTGGTTAAAAGGAAGGAAAGAAAAAAGAAAAGAAAAGAAAAAGAAGAAGAAGAAATCATCGAGAAGACAAGTAAGAAGATCGATCATTTGACGAGAGGTAAAACGCCTAACGCCGTGTACTCGGGTTCGTCCCTATGACAGGAGGGGTCACGGATTATTTTTAGCACATCAAGGCAATAATTAATTTCGCTTTAGCTGAGCCGATCGAGGGTCAATGGCGAATAACCACCCAACTCGCGTATTAATTAACGATAAGATTATTTTACATATTATCTTGCAAAAGAAATAAATCATTTTCTTTCAGACAAATTTGTATTTCGCGCGCGCTTTCTTTTTATTCCCTCCACCGCTAGTAATTTTTTGCCTAGTGACAACAATTAAAGATTTCCAAGATCTTAGAGGTGGTAGACAAATATCGAAACGAAAAAAAAAAAAAAGAAAATATATATATATATAAAAAAGATCGTATAATAATTTTGCGTATTATTAAAAGTATATTATTAAAATAAAAATGATTAAAAAAAAAAAAAAAAGTTTATGATAAATTGAACCTATCTATCGTCTTATGTTAAAGCCAATTCCGGTTCACACGATACTCGAAGTGGCGTGGTGCTTACGTCAAACGAACGTATGTCGGAAACGTAAAGGGAGCGGAAGAGGGGGGAGGGGACACTAGGGCTGGACATTTAATGCTTCTAATGCAATAATATGCAATTCAATTTTCTTTTTCTTTTTTTTTGTTAAACTGACGAAGAGAATATGACAAGAGAAGAGGGTGAGTAAGTAAAGAGTTGAGAGAGAGAGAGAGAGAAAGAGAGAGAGAGAGAGAGAGAGAGAGAGAGAGAGAGAGAGAGAGAGAGAGAGAGAGACGAACGACGACTACCTTCGAACCTCTTTGAACGTCATCTGACCAATAAATGAGTTCCCGATGTTAAACGTTATTACACTTACTGTTTTAGCGTCACGATGTGCATTATATAAATCGATGGATATGCAGGAGGATAGAAACTTTCTAAATAATACGATTATAAATTGGTAATAAAATTTGAGTAATAATGCATTTACAATATATATATATATAATAATAGTATGTGTATATGCTATTATAGTATACGTATGTACATAGTATGTGTATACTATATGTGTTGGTGACAGACACACGTACGTTATCATTAAATAATACATTTATCGTCATTCATTAAAGCAAAATTATAGCAGCATGCGATGATCACGCGATAATGTACCCGAACAGATAGAAATATAGAGATAGTATAGTATAGTATAGTATAGTATAGTTCGAAATGTTGTCAGACATCCTTGGCAGATTTGTTAGAAATAACGGCAGACGACCTAATTTTCTAAGTCCACGGACCTATAGATCACAATCTTTGTCGTTCTCTATTACATAGAAAAGCTTCGTTCAATTGGCGATATTTCGAAGGATGGTCAATCGTAAGTTAAATAAATGGTAAGAAGAAGAAATGTTAAATACTCGATGTGCCAAGAAAAAACCATCACCATCATTACCACCACCACCACCACCACCAGTTAGGTGGTAGAAAATTTGTCATCATAATAATGTTGCGGTGTTACATCTCTTTTCATCTTGAACGATGTAACAATCCGAGAACTGGACCAGCACATCTTTCGGAACAATTTTGTAAATGATAAATAAAGCAAGAACCTAATGAACCAATGAGAGAGAGAGAGAGGAAATATTCCATATATAAGATTATAATATTAAATACATATACAGTGGGTGAATCGATAGGAAACGTTTAAATATACTCTACAAATGTATTCTACGCGTAAAAATAATTTTTCGAAAAAAAATCTCAAACGTTTATACATCCTATCGTTGTGTTTAAATTATTATATAATAAAATTAACTCACGTAGATTATAATCCGTCTAAATATTTTCTGTTCTCTCGTCATGCGAAAGACGATGAGATTGTTCTTTCAACAAAAACAACAACAACACCAACAATTAAATATCGGATATTTAAAAATAAAAATAAAAATAAAAAAACAAAAAATAAAATAGAAAATCGAATGATTTGAATTTTTGTTTAAAAATTATTTCTATACGTTGAGAAGAATGCAGTACCTCTTATCTTAAAATTTCGAGACATTCCTCTCGATTCATCCTGTATACATATATATATATATATATTACTACGTAGATGTCAGAGGAAAATTTCGTGCTGGTTTTCGAGAACGTGGACAACAAAAGAACCGGAGGTCTAATAAAAGCGAAAGAGGGTGCATCATTGAGTAAGGTTGAGGGCGCATCTCGTCTCTCGAGGTCGAGTAACAAAGTTGCATGGGTACTACTATTACTACTACTACTACTACTACTACTACTAACACTAGTACCCTTACGATAACTTCGTCTTCTTGAGAATGTATAGTAATCTATACGTGGCTAAAGCATTAGAGAAAACTAGGAGAGTGGAATGGAAATTTCTCGACCAAGTTGAGTAAGTATTATACACACACACACACACACAACATTTATATACACATTCTTTTGAGATATCTCTTTCCGTGTACACATGTATTTGTTCGGTGAAACGTCACAAGTCGAGTATAAAAAAAAAATAAAGAAAGAAGAGGAAAAAATGAGTTCGTGATAATATAAAGAGGATTTTGAGCCGGACAAGTCGTTGATGGAAAAAAAGCTGTTGTTGGGTAGTGAATCTCGATCATTTTTCAAGTATTCAGAGATAGGAAATTTGATCGGAGAAGTTAGAGACACTTCGTCGATAACATTTGCCTCGGCCAATGGTATTTACATAGAATCTATGAAATATAGATATATAAACGAGACCTAATACCCCATCGGTTCTCACGTCTACTACGAACTTGTATTAAAACTTGTATGTTTGGGGTTAATTGTAAAACGTGAGAAATAAAACACGAAATAAGTCATTTATTATCAACGTCATAGTTGGATATGAAATTAGGAAAAAAGAAATTAATAAAAAAAAATAAATTAATCTGGATGAACGTGGACGATGATATTTGCTTCTATTTTTTCTTTTTCTTTTCATATATTTATTTAATTTTGTTTTTCAAAAAAAGAAAAACTCGATATTCTCGAGAATACGTTCCGTTACTTACGAATAACGATAAAGATGTTAAATTGGATCAGTAAATATGTATGCATTTGTTTGTACCACTTCTAGTAAACAGATATGCTTAATCCTGTCATGGCATACGACGATAAGATCACGAAGGATCACGCAAATTAATTCGATTAAGATTTGCATTATAAATATGTCACCGAGTATGCGCGTTTACGATGCATTTTATAAATGTACAAATAACGAGAAACGAGTAAATCTTTTCTTTCGAAAATACCAGAGACAAATGCGATTTGAGATTCATACTTAAAAACAAATGTTAATATCTAATAGAATTGTTCGAATATTTCGACAAAATTTGATCGAACTTGGAATCGAGTCGGAAATATTTTGTCGGGGTTTTTTTTTGGGGTACCTATTATAATCATCGAGTTCCCATTTATCATTAAGAATTTAATTTGTTATTCGAAATACTAAATTAAATTGAAAGAACGATTTCTCTTTATGTCTGTGATATTGCATTAAAAACTTTTAAAATTTTGATGTTACAGTGTAATTAAATATTCGAATTATTATGGAGGAAATTTCTAATCGAAAATTGAATTCTGTTGTGTTGAAAATTTCATTTCAAAAATATCATCAAATACGTTCATCGTGCGTTGACGACAAATTTTTAGAACACATTCGATTCGTCCAATAATATCGAATATCCGTACATTTTCTTTATTATTAAAATAATTTATTATTAAAAAATATTCATTCGGACGAAAGAGTAAATATGTTTGTTTAATCCATTTTTTTGGTTTCTTTTTCTCTCGCGCATATTTAGAAGATAAGATTCAGTCGTAATTTTTTGTTCAGTGGAAAGGGAAGGGAAAGAGAGAGAGAGAGAAAAAAAAATTAAAATTTTCTTCTCGTCTGCGGGTTGAAATTAATTTTCGAGTTCTCGTTATCAACAGGATGGGTTCACGTTGATTGCTCGATTTGCTATTACTTCCGGATGAGAGACTTATTCTATCCTTCTTCGTGATTAAGAAGAGGGAAGAGAGAGAGAGAGAGGAAAATGAAGAGAGAAAATTTAATAACGAACAAAAAAAAAATAAATGAAGGAGAGAAAAAAATACGAAAAGTAAAAGATAACAAAAAGAAATAAAAATATATATATATAGAAAATGATCGAGTATTAATGATCATAATATGATGATTTCTACGTATTTGTTTCGTAATCGATTGGTAACATTAAATAAAACTAAGAAAAAGAATTTAATTTATCGCAATAATTTATCAGCCGGATATATAATTATATCTTCGTGATATTTACATAACGTTCAAATACACATGTGACTCTTATATTATCACATGGATTCGTCAATAATCTTCAAGTTTTTTTTTTCTCTTTCTCTTCGTTTTCTAATCGATATTATTTGATCATTCATGATTGAACGTAAATTAATATAATACGAAATAAGAAACGAGGTGGGTTTGTCGTGCTTGAAAAATAATACAAAGTAAGCATGTAATTGATATTTAATGCGTACCGTTACAAAAATTCCTCGTTTCTTTCAGGCGCGAAGAAATATGCGAATTTAAATATACTGTATGGTATGTACTCTATTTCTACTTTTCTTTTTCTTTTTTTGCTGCCCCCTATTTCTTTTATTTCCTTTTTGTTTTCTCTCACGCGAGTTATTATGCAGAAAGTTGCCACAATTCTCAATAATATGAAATTCAGAAAATTTAACTTGAAGATTTGTATTTCTATTCGAATATATTTCATTTCTTTTGTTGTTATTGTTTTAAACATTTTTTTTTTCTTTTTTTTCATGGATTATTTAATAGTTAATAATGTATAAAAGTATAACAATATAAACCTATAAAATTATATTATTCTTAGATAGTTTTAATATAGAAAAGTTTTATTATAAATGTCGATTTAACGAGAAAAGAAACGCAAAAACAACAGATTCATATTAATTTAAATTCAATAAAATGATAATATTTTGTTTTTCATTTTGAAGACATGAATTTTCAATTACCGTGTTGACGACCAGTTAACTGTGGCTAATTAGATACACTTTTTGAAAAATATCTATCTTAATTATGTCGCTAAAATGAAACGATGAGAAAAATAAAAAGTATGTTTAGCTGTTATAATATTGAATTAAAAATAATAATCAAATGTGAATATTTTATTTTTATATATAAAATTGAATCTATTGTTTTTTAATGATATTAAATGAAACAAACTACAAAATATATAATGCCACTTCGCAAATTAAACACAAATATTTTTATTCTATCCGAATATTACTTTTTGTAACAATATGTCTATCTTCTTATAGAATTACTTGTCGAAGATGTGCTTGGTATATAATCTGGAAAAATGTTCACCGATTAGATGTGCAACGTTAAGTTTAGTTAATCGAATTTGTTTTACTTTGTTCAAGCTATATATAGTATTTTCATAATAATTAATTACATTATTTTTCATCTTGATTTCCATAGAATTAAAACGTTTTTATATTAACGAATGTATTTTCGTTTATTACAGAAATTTCAATTTAAATAACAATTGATAAATACTTTTCACAGATGACGAATATACTCTCATCATAATTGATTAAGAAAGTACAAGGTAATACTATTCAAATACTATCAAAATACTATATAAATCAAAATAACGAAATGATGAAATTATTTTCTTGGAATTCAGAGAATTGCTAAGTTCCTCCTATATTACTTATTTGTCTCAATTGAAATAAAAAAGAATAAAAAAGAATAAAAAAGAAAAGAAATGAAACGAATACTAGTAAAAAGGTAAATGTAGGAAGGAATTGAAAAGTTTATACTTGGTTGGAGGATGTTCGCGAAGTATAGTTGACGGTAATAAGCTAGTAAAATCTTATTGCTCTTACGTTGCACTGCCCTGAGAGAAAAGTTATGTAATACGTTAGAGATTCGCATACACTACATATATATATATTACGTATATATACGTAGGACACACACAAACCTGTGTATATATATACATATATGTACGAGATCCTTTTCTTCTCTTTTACTAAATTTTCGATTTCCTTCTTCCGTAGAATGAATTAACAAGTCTACGACGTATTTTAACGGAACACCTTGTATAAGAATTAACGTGGGAACAAAAACAGCTCCCTTAACACGTTAATACAATGAACGTTTTACTATTAACACATTTAACAATCTAATATCAATTCGAATTTATTATTTTACCAAAATCTCAATGCTCTCTCAATATTTTTTATAAGATAACAACAAAAATAATAAATAAATAAATACAAAGAAAGGGATGAGGGGGAGAGGAAGGGAAAAAAGAAAAGAGGAAAAGCAAAATGAAGAATAAAAAAACCAACAAAAAATAGAATGATACGTCGAGGATGTTTCATTTAAAGTAACGCCATTAAAGTAGCGCTAACGATTGGAAACGATTAAAGTACATTTTTTTTTTCCTCAATGTCAAAGGTGATCATTCGTGACGGTTTACACACGCACGTGCGTTTAATGTGTAAATACATGCATGCGCCAGATGATCTAATGAATAAGACCACGATCATTGTAAAGTGGTCAATGAAATTAAAGAATCTCTGATTCTCTCTCTCTCTCTCTCTCTCTTATTCTTTATGCCATTTTTTTTCTTCCTCGACCCGTCAATAGACGATGACGTAACGAGGCGTTAGCGTTTTCTCCTCTTCGAAGAAAAATCAAACGTTTCTCTTCTCGTTATCAATATTTATTTATCTATCTATCTCTCTCTCTCTCTCACTCACTCTTTTTTCCTTAACTTGACCTTTCTCAAAAAAAAAAAAAAAAAAACTTGACCTTTCTCAAAAAAAAAAAAAAAAAAA